CCTTCTCCTTAGCATAACAACACTATGGTAACCAATGGAATTCCAGTTCTCATGACTTAACAGATTGTAACACTTAAAAGTTAAACTTAATTCAAACAAACACCAATTAACTAGAGGGAACAGAACATAGTAGATAGTTAAAGAGTGGAAGAGAAAGAATAGATGAATTACGTCACTTCTTGTGTTTGCTTTCACAGGTCATGCACCTTTGCATTCTGGTATCCACAGTCAGGATAACAGGAGTCAGAACTTGTGTGGTTTATATTGCAATGGAAACTTAGACACCAGCCATAGTCATGTCCCCAAGTGTACTGAACTGGCCATAACTTCCAATCTAGCAAGAATCATAGTCATACAGTCATACAGCACGGAAACAGAGCCTTCAGCCAACCAGACCCTGCCGATCAGGTTTCCCAAACTAAACTACGCCAACCTGTCTTCGCTTGGCCTATATTCCTCCAAACATTTATTATTCATATCATTATGCAAATGTCTTTCAAACATTGTAACTGTACTGCATCTACCACTTCCTCTGGAGATTCATTCCACACATGATCAACTCTCCTTATTAAAAAACACCTCGTGCCTTTTTTACATCTTTCTCCTCTCAACTAAAAAGTATGCCCCTTGTCTTGATGTCCCCCACCTGAGGGAAAAACGCACCTGCAGACCACGTTATCTATACCCCATGTGATTTTATAAATTGACCTCTATAAGGTCACCCCTCAGCCTCCTACACTCCAGTGAAAATAGTCCCAGTCTATCCAGCTTCTACTTATAACTTAAACCTTCCATTCCCGACAATGTCCTACATCTCTCTCCTGAACCCTCTCCAGCTTAAAAACCTCTTGCTGTTGTTTTTCACTTTTCTTTAATCTGTTAATAGTATAGAAACAGAAATTTATGGTTAAATATATAACAATTGTGTACTCCTAGTGATTAAGACGGTCATTATTTTTTAATCTACCTAAGAAACCTAAAGCAAAAGAGTTCAAGCATTTTAGAATTATAAGCTAAATAGCTTATCACATTCAGGTGGTCATCAAAACATTAGAATGTAAGAAAGGGGAGCAGGAGTAAACAATTCAGCCCCTCAAGCCTGCTCTGCTATTTAACATGATCTTGGCTGATCTCGTCTGGACCACAACTCTACTTTCCTGCTTGCTCTGCATGACCTTCAACCTGTTACAAATTAAAAATCTGTCAAGCTCACCTTAACTTTACTCAATGTCCCAGCATAAACATACTCTCAGGTGGTGAATTCCACAGATTCATGACTCTTTGAAGGAAGCAAATTGCATGTTATACCAGAGCTGATCACCAAGATTCTGTTACCCAGGAAGAGATCGTCAAGGTACATTACAATCTGATTAGGAATCAATAACAAAAACAGAAATTGTTGGAGAGACTCAGCAGGCCTGGCAGCACATGTAGGAAGAAAGCCGAGTTAACATTTTGAGTCCAGTGACATTTCATCAAAGCTTTTAGTAGCTCAGAAAAAAAATATATATTTATGCTGAAGCTGAAATGGGGGAGGAGCTGAAGGGGAGAGGTGAGCGGATATGTGGAGACAGAGTTCAGAGAGAGAGAAATATGAACACGGCAGCTAAACAAGGAGATAATGGACAGCAGGCCTGGGGAGAATAAAAGCTGAATAAGTGATAATAAGAGCAAAGAGTGAGAAAATGGGTTAGCTGTGCTGAATGCATACAATGTGGTAATGAGCCAAGGAGTATGTGGAAATAAGTGACTGTGCTAAAAGCAGCCTCTGTCATCAGATGACCATGTGTGGGGTGGGAAAAGAAACATGGAAAGATGGAATCAGACACTACAGTTACCGAACTCAATTTTAAGTTCTTGAGCCTGCAGAGTGTCAAAGCAAAAAATGAGACATTGTTCTTGTGCTGAGTTTCACTGGAATCCTACATCAAGCCCGAGATAGAAATACTGGCCAGGGAACACGGTGGTGGAAGCTCATGGTCAATACCCACATCCTCAGTCCTTTATTTTATTTTAGCGACGAGAAACTTTTATTTCTAAAGTAAGCAGTGGATTTGCTGAGAGACAAAAGCCGCAAGATTCCACGGTTTTGAATAAATGTAACTCTTTACTATAGCTGGTGAACACTAATGCAATCTACAGTCCATGTACAACTCATTTCTACCATCCAGAATTGAAGTGTGGTACACTTGAGTAATATCCTGTGATTGAACATGTCATAGCTCACATCAAATGGAAAACGTTTACAGGACAGATCCCATGGATATCTCAGCAACTCCACTCAGATATGAATGATATGGTGGACCATCAAATATCATTAAACTTCACATGGAATCACAGTTTTGTTTTACTTTTGCTGACACAGCATTGAAACTTGCTCTCAAGAGCCTTTCTGTCATGGACTGTCACAACGACTGCTCCTGTCATTGACCAATCATCCTTCTGCCCTGGATTCATGTTCCCCTTGACTCTCAAACTACATCCCAGTCCTTTTTCACAGGAACAACTCCAGATTTTCACTGGCAGCTCATTGCACCGAATACCTGGTTTCTCCCTGAGTTATAACATTCTCAGTTTTATGAAGCTATTACAGCTTATGGGATTTCTCAATGCCCACTCTCTCTGTGTGTGCTGAAATGTTAATGTTCTCAGTCTTCTTCTGAGCAACACCTCCTCCTCCACACACAGCTACTGACCAAGACAATCCAGAAACTCCACTACCCACTTAGTCAGCTCCTCTGGACTTGACCCCTGACTGCACAGAGTTAGCCAAGTGTTCTTTATTTCTTCCCTGCAGGACAGCTAAAAAAACCTGTGCTCCAAAGATGGAGTCTGCCCCTCCTTCTGTCCAACTAAACTGTGACCCTGGAACTGACTCTCTGTGACCCCTGGACATCTTAGTGACCCATGGAAAACCTCGCAATGAACCCGTCCACTATTTCTGGACTTGTGACCCATTAAAAATCTTCCAATGAACTCCTCCACTTTTGCTGGACATGGAGACAGAGAACCAAACCAGCCCTTCTACCTCTGCATTCACAAAGCAGTAAAATTAAAATCCAGAAAGACCTTCAAAATTAAATGCTACGGTTCCTAACAAGACTTTTTGAATATCCAATCCCAGACTGTGCGAGCAATCAATCCGTGGACACTGGGTCTGTAGCTTAAAATAAAGTCTAAGCAATTTATTCACCATACTGTACTGCTAGCAAAGCAAAATAAAATAACAAAGTCATCTAACTGTTTTATGTTAGAGGGCTCTAACATTTTTAAGATGATACAAAATCTTCTGTCATTTAATTCCTTTTGTGATTTCAGTTGTTAGGAAAGTCAAAAGAATGACAACTTAGTCTTGCTTCTGAAACGTCAACAACAGCTTTAGGAAATGAGGTCAATATTTAAACAGCACAGCTTTTGTTTTCAGCCCCATTCACACTAAAGACAGACAGACAAATAAACACAATTAAAGGATAAATAAAAGAAAAGAATAAAATTGGCCCGAGTAATTTAGTGGGTTTTCACAATGCATTGTTCCACAGGAATAGACAATGCTTTCTTGGTTTATTTTCTAATGATGTTGATCAGATAAAGGCAGTAATGCTTATAAATTGTTTTTCTATTCTTTCAGTATCCAAAAGATGCTCATGGGAGTTTAGATTGCGACCTTTCAAATCTTCATGCTGTAGCATCAACAACCAGATTCCCTTTTTAACAGAAAACACAATCCAAACCCAATTTAAATTCTGACCACTCCCAAAAATAAAACAATGATGATGTTCTAATAAATAGTCACCAGGCTTGAAATGTTAAATTTGCTTTCTTCTCACAGAGGCTGCCAGACCTACTGAGATTCATCAGCAATTTCTGGGTTTTTTTTCTGACCACTCCCTGACACACTGATTGTCTCTTGCATGAGACCCTTGTTGCCACTCAACATCTGCCATCTACTTGGCCATAAGTCCTTTCCAGACTTGCTGGAACCAATTTCTAGCTACTGATGTTGTGAACAAGAAATATCTGCTGACTCCACTAATTCCCAGTGACTGCTAACTGTTTAATCATAATGCTCTTCCCCAGTGATGAAACATCTGCACAACATTTTCATCAGGAACCAACCTGCATTTAACTTCCAAGTCTGGCCTCACAAATACAATAAAGTTGTTAGGTCTGTTTTCCTTTCAAAACAAACTGTTGCCCACTGTCCAAAAGTGAACTTGAGTTCATAATTTCCAGTTCACAACTACAAACCAAAATTGATTAAAATATAAAAAATAAAAATAAGGCAAAATCAGCAAGGAACTCTAACATTTTCAAAGAGATACAAAAAGTCCATCTTCTGGCATTCAGTTTCTTTTTTACAGCTTCAGTAGTTGAGAAAGTTAAAGAGAATGGCAACTTAGTTTTGTTTGACAAATATCAACGACAGGTGTAGGGAATGGAATAAATGTTTGCCTAAGCAATAACTGCATCATAACCAGAGTTTCTTGTACAGAGGCAAATGCCAAAAGGTATAAGTGTGACGTCAGCTGGATGAGAAAACTTCACTTTCATGAAAAAGAGGCCATGGCTGCATGGTTGTGTAAAAATAGGATCAGTTTTGATTTAACTTCAGATCATTCTCACTGGTCTGGTGATGTGTGAGTGAAAATATAGAGGCCTCAGAGAGCAGGAGCAATAAAGGCTTATGGATAATTCATACTGTTCCAATTCATCCAGTATACTTCAAAATGGTGCTGTAGTACACCCAATATATTCATTACCAACTATCTTTCGCATTTTTTAATCAATATTTTTCCACTGGGAAGCTGGTCGCTCAAAGACTTGGGATGTTTTATGACACCAGAGAACATTCTACGAAAAAGGTTATCATTTCGAAAGTCACAAATAAAGAACAAATATAATCAGACACGTTTGGATTGTTTCAGAAGCCAACTTAAAATGGCCAAAGGAGGAAAGTTCTGCCCCTGAAAAGTAACAGCTGAAACCTGGTTCCAATCCCTTTAACAAGGTCTAGATTTATTCTGTTCATTTTTCAACAATCTTTCAATTAGTGCCCAGGGAAATTTCAGAACCTTCTTAAACTCTTCCCTGAAATTTCTCTGGGTAGCTGCATAAATCCATGTGTTTGTGCAGGAATTCAAATATTTTATCATCGTTCCAGACTCAGTGGCGATGTACGCAGGAGATGTACGGTCTCCTCGATAGTAAGTTGTGTTTGTTAGTCTTGTCGTTACAAAGCTCACATTTGCTGTCAGCCACAACAATATAAAACTGCCCGATATAATGAAGAGTAAAATGATAGACTTCCTTCGGTTCTCCATCTCTGAATCTCTCTCATTCTCACGTGGGTGGCCCCGAAGGGCTCTACGAGTTCTAGTGGCCACTAGAATACATCTCACTGTCAAAGAATTTAACAAAATGATTAAAGTGAATGGGAGCCAGACACGCCAAATGCTGTGAAACCAGACGGACGCTACACCAAAGTTTGAGGAAAAAAATGCCAAACTTCCCCCACAGCCCCACCGCATTTTGTTAATTATGTGTTCATGTTTATATGCAAACCAAACAGAAATATTCTTTATAAAGATTAGGATAGAGAACATTGTTATAACCACAGATGCTGTCCTTTTGGTGCAGTATTTTTCTTTAAACCTCTGGTGGCTGATAATTATAAAACGGTCAAATGTGAAGGACACAGTGAACCAAACCGTTAAATCAAGACTGACAACAGTCATATACAAAATGAATGTACACACAGGAGTGTGAGACAGGAATGAATGTGGAAAATGATAACTGAAAATATAATACACCATTACATTGTTGGTCAAGACCAGTAGATTTGCCGTTGCCATTGCCACCATGTAGAGAGAGATACACTTGGAAAGACCACACTTTCCTTGGGACAGAATTAAAATTGTAATTAGGTTCACTGTAAGAAAGAAAAAAGAGAGATTATAATTATCACTATCTAAAAGATATCATTGTAAATCACCAATAAGACACATTGAAAGAATCAATTCAAAATGTTCAACAAGAATACATTCTATTCAAAATCTCAAACTCAGTAAAACGACCCATTCATGGCCTACCCAGGAAGTTAAGGGCAATTATTTTATTCATTCCTTAGATGTGGGTATTTCTAACTAGGTCAGCAAGTATTCCCCATTTTGAATTGATCAGAGAACATTTCAGAGTTTGCCATTTTGATGTAGATATGGAATCAAATGTAGGCCACACCCAATAGGTGTGGGAGATAAGTGAATTGGATGGGGTTTTTTTATAAAGATATGTATTGAATTCAAAGTTCCCCAGCTACCATGGTGGGATTGAGACCCATGTCCCCAGAACAGTAGCCTGAGGCTTTAGATTTCTAATCTAATGATATTGTCAGTATTCCATCAACTCCACTCAGCATAGCATGGGGTTATATTAATGTTACAATGAATTGAAGCACAATGGAGGATTGGGATTCATTTAGAATCCAACACAGGCCATCATAAGCTGATAAACTTGGAAAAAATGGAATATGTGACTAAACTGGCCATGAATATAATAACAGATCAAAAGGGATTTCAAAAGAAAGAGAGTAGCGAAACAATATTTTAGTACCTTAGTGAAAAGACAGTGCAAATCTTTATGGATATCAGCAAATGGCAGAGACATTTAACTAACATTTGTGTTTATTGTTACAGTAAATGTTACATGCTGAAAATAAGAAGTCACCCAATGCCTATTAAGAGTAAGGTAATAAAACAAATTAATATCAGGTGGAGAACTGTAAGTAAGTAAAATTAGGGCTTACTGTGTCATGGTTAATATTTTGACGTGGATAGAGGAATGGGTATGTACAAGGGGGGAAAGTAAGCATAAATGGAGCATTTTGACATTGGCAGACCAGGACAAGTTGAGTGCTACTAGAGACAGTGCTTTGTCGTCAGCTATTTACAGACTCCACCCAGAAGAGTCAGAGAGTAATGCCTCTAAATCTGTTGACAATACTAAACTGGGTGGAAATGTAAGCTGCAAGGAGAACTCAGAGAAGCTGCATCGACACGAAGACAAGTTTGATTAGAAAACAATATGGCAGGTGATGTATTAAGTGGGGAAGTTTGACATTATACACTTTAGTCATAAGAATCAAAATTCTGAATATTTGTCTAAAAGGCATGAAAATTGTAACTTTTCAGAGAGACGTATGTGCACTTGTACAAGAACCACAGAAAGTTAGCAAAAGTGAAATACTTCGGCTACTGGAAAGGCAGAGTAAATTTGGCCAATATCCCTTGAGGTTTAGAAGAATGAGAGGTTGTCTGATGGAACATTTAAGATTATGAAGAGCTTGACAGATATATATTGAAAGGTATTCTGATTGACTAAGCAATATAGAATATATGAACACAGTCTCAGATATTGGGGGGAGGGGGGGAAGAATTTAGGAAGCAGATGAAAAACATTCTTAATTAAAGGATTGACAATCTATGGAAGTCTTTATTCCACAAGATTGTGAATGTCCTTTCACTGGCTGAGAAAGATAGACCTTTGGTTTCTCAGGCAATCCAGGGCTGTAGGAAATGGTGGGAAAGTGGAATTGAAGCCCAAGATCAGTCATGATTGTTTTGAGTGGCTGATCAAGCTCAAAAAGCAGTATGGCGCATTCCTGCTCCTATCCCTTATATCCTTATGATTCTAATTTAAATATATAAAGCGATATATATGCCTTATATATTTAAAGGAGGATATGGCAGATGAATGCGTGGCTAAAGAATTGGTGCAGGGGACAGAGGTTCACATTCCTGGATCATTGGGATCATTTCTGGGGCAGAATTGACCTGTTCAAGAGGGACGGGTTATACCTGAACTGGAGGGTACCAATATCCTGGCAGGCAGATTTGCTAGCGCTGCAAGGGAGGTTTTAAGATAGATTGGCAGGGGGTGGGGTCCTAAGCAGTAAGAAGGCAAGTGCGAGGCTGGAAGGAAATATAGTAATCAGAGATACCAAGTTGAAGAGACAGGTCAGGATGGAATAGGACAGGGGGATGAGGAATGCTTGTTGAATTAAATTGCATTTATTTCAATGCAAGAAGGCTGACAGGTAAGGTTGACGAACTCAGGGCGTGCATAGATATGTGGGACTGGGATATTATAGCAATTACAGAAACATGGTTAAGGGAGGGACAGGACTGGCAGATTAATGTGTCAGGGTAGATGTGCTTTAGGCAGGACTGAAGTGGAGGAAAGAGGGGAGGGGAGTTGCATTTTTGATTAAGGAGAGTATCACAGCAGTAGTTAGAGACGAAATAACTGAAGGATCATCCAGTGAGGCTTTGTGGGTGGAGCTAAGAAATAAGAAAGGGATAGTGACATTATTGAGGTTGTACTATTGGCCCCCAAATAGTCAATGGTAATTAGAGGAACAAATATGCAGGGATATTGCGGAGACTTGCAGGAGCAATAGGGTTGTCATAGTGAGGGATTTTAACTTTCCTAACATAGACTGGGACTGCCAAAGTGTTAAGGGCTTCGATGGGATGTAATTTGTTAAGTGTGTTCAGGAAAGTTTCTTTAAGCAGTATATATAGGGTCCTACTCAGGAAGGGGCAAAACTTGACCTACGCTTGGGAAATAGGGCAGAACAGGTGACTGAGGTGCCAGTAGGGGGGCACTTTGGGACCAGTGACCATAGTTCTATTAATTTTAAAATAGTTATGGAAAAAGACAAAACTGGTCCACAGGTTCAAGTTCTAAACTGGGGCAAGGCAAATTTAGATGGAATTAGACAGGAGCTTGTAGGGGTTGATTGGAGCAGTTTGTTTGCAAGCAAATGAACCTCTGGCAAGTGGGAGGCCTTTAAAAGTGTGACAGCTAGAGTTCAAGATCCTGATGTTCCTGTGAAGGTGAAGGACAAGATTGACAAGAGATATTGAAGCTTTGACCGGAAAAAAGAAGGAGGCATGGCTCAGGAGCAGGCAGCTGGGATCAAGGGAATCCCTGGAGGTATATAGGGAATACAGGAGTTTACTGAAGAAGGAAATCAGGAGGGCGAAAAGGGGGCATGAGATAGCTTTGGCTGAGAAGATTAGGGTGAATCCAAAGAGATTTTTTAAATATGTTAAAGGAAAAAGAATAACTAGAGAGCGAATAGGACCCCTCAAGGACCAAAGTGGACTTGTATGTGTGGAACCACAAGAGATTGGCGAGGTCCTCTATGAATATTTCTCCTCTGTGTTTACCATGGAGAAAGACATGAAGACTTGGGAACTTGGGGAAATTAGTGGTGGAGAAATTTGCTCCAGCTATACAAAACCCTGGTTTGGCCACATCTGGAATATTGTGTCCAGTTCTGGTCGCCTCATTGCAGAAAAGATGTCGAAGTGTTGGAACAGGTGCAGAGGAGATTTACCAGGATGTTGCCTGGAATGGAGGGAAGGTCTTACGAGGAAAGGATGAGGGAGCTAGGGCTTTTCTCTTTAGAACGATGAAGGATGAGAGGTGACTTGATAGAGGTGTACAAAATGATCAGAGGTATAGATAGAATGGACAGCCAGACACTTTTTCCTAGGGTTGAGGTAGCTATTATGAGGGGCCATAGTTTTAAAGTGAGTGGAGGTAGATATAGGGGAGACGTCAGAGGTTGGTTCTTCACTCAGAGAGTGGTAGGGGCGTGGAATGCATTGCCGGAGAGGGTAGTAGAGTCGGCCTCATTAGGGGCAGTTAGGCGGCTATTAGATAGGCATATGGATGATAGTATAAGGTAGGGTGGAGGTTAGATAGACTTTAGGTTTAAGGTAAAAGTTCGGCACAACACTGTGGGCCAAAGAGCCTGTACTGTGCTGTACTGTTCTATGTGCTATGTTCTATATCTTGAGGACAGTCCATACCACAGTACAGGAGGTGTTTGAAGCATTAGAATGTACAAAGGTGGATAAATCTCCTCGTCCTGACCAGATATATCCAAGAACCCTGCAAGAGGCTAGGAAAAGATTACGGGGACCCTGGCTGATATACTTGTGTCATTGTTAGCCACGGGTGAAGTACCAGAAGACTAAGGAGTAGTGAATGTTGTGCCCTTATTCAAGAAGGGCTGCAAAGAAAAGCTTGGGAATTCTAGACCAGTAAGTTTAACATCTGCAGGAGGTAAGTTACTTGAGAAGATTCTGAGGAATAAGATATACATGCATTTAGAAAGACAAGGTTTGATTAGGGGTAGTCAGCATGGCTTTGTGTGTGGGAGATCATGCCTCACAAATTTGTTAGAGTTCTTTGATGAAGTGGCCAGGAAGGTTGATGAGGGCAGAGTGGTAGACGTATTCTATGTAGATTTTGGTAAGGCCTTTGATAAGGTTCCACATGGTTGGCTGCTCTGGAAGGTTAGATCACAGGGAGAGCTGGCAGATTGGATACACAATTAGCTTGTAGGGGAGACAATGACCTTGTGGTATTATTGCTAGACTGTTAATCTAGAGATCCAGGTGATATTCTGGGGTCCTGGGTTTGAATCTCACCACGGCAGATGGTGGAATTTGAATTCAATAAATATCTGGAATTAAGAATCTAATGATGACCGTGAATCCATTGCCAATTGTCGGAAAAACCCATTTGGCTCAGTAATGTCCTTCAGGCAATGAAACTGCTATCCTTAACTGGTCTGGCCTACATGTGACTCCAGACCCACAGCAATGTGGTTGACTCATAACTGCCCTCTGGGCAATTAGGGATGGACAATAAATTCTGGTCTAGCCAGCAACGACCTCATCCCATGAATGAATAAAGGAATAAATTATGTTAGGAAGCACTGGGTAATAGTGGAAGGATGCTTGACTGACTGGAGGCCTTTGACTAGTGATATGCTTCAGTGGTCAGTGCTGGGCCCATTGCTGTTTGTTATCTACATCAATGATTTGGTTGAGAATGTACAAGGCATGATTAGTATGTTTGTGGATGACACTGAAATAGGCGATATTGTGGACATTGAGTAAGGTTATCAAAAATTGCAGCAGGATCTTGATCAGCTGGGGAAGTGGGCCGAGAAATGGCAAATGGAATTTAATATAGATAAGTGTGGGTGTTGCATTTAGAAAGTCAAATCCAGGTAGGAGTTTCATGGCGAATGGTAGGGCCTTAATGGTGTAGAGGAAGAGAGGGACCTTGGAGTTCAGGTGCATGGTTCTCTGAAAATGGAGTCACAGGTAGACAGGGCAGTGAAAAATGCTTTTGGAACACTGGCCTTCATCAGTCAGGGTGTTGAGTAAAGAAGTTGGGAAGTTATGATGCAGTTGTACATGACGTTGGTGAGGCCGCACTTGGAGTATTATGTTCAGGTTTGGTCACCTTGCTATGGGAATGATGTTATTAATCTGGAATGAACATGGACGAAATTTACAAGGATGTTGCCAGGACTCAAGGGACTGAGTTATAGGGAGAGGTTGGACAAGCTAGCACTTTTATCTTTACAGCATAGGAGACTGAGGGGGGATCTTATAGAAGTGTATAAGATCATGAGAGGCATGGATAGGGTGAATGCACTCCGTCTTTTCCCCAGGGCTGGGGAATCAAGGACTAGAGGGTATCAGTTTAAGGTAAGAGGGAAAAGAATACATGGGAACCTGAGGGGCAACTTTTTTACACAGTGGGTGTAATGCATATGGAATGAGCTGCCAGCGGAAGTGGTTGAGGCGGGCACATTAACAACATTTAAAAGGCATTTGGACAAATACATGGATAGGAAAGGTTTAGAAGGATACAGGCCTTGTACAAGAAAATGGGCTCAGCGTGGATGGATAGTTTGGTTGGCACGGATTAGTTTGGGCCAAAGGTCCTGTCTCTGTGCTGTGGGACTCTATGACTCTATGATATAGATTGAAAGCATTTTATCCGATTCCATGCAAATATCAACACAGCAACATGAGAAAAATTACTATTGAAGCCATCATGTGGGAAATCTGCCCACACATTTATATTACTGCCCTATGTTGGCCCTAAATGACAGGATGGACCAAAACTCCCAGCATTCACTGAACTGAACTAAAATCATTGCACAAAGATTTGTACATTAGAACATCATTCAGATTATCAGATCAAAGAAATGTGGAAAACAAGAGCAAGAGGTTCATGAGTTGGTTCCAACAACAGTCAAAACGTTTGACACAGTTGCACAGAAAATGACTCACAGTACTGAACAAGCAGGAGGAACAGGGAGAATATTTAAACTGATTCACAACAAGCAGATTACAACAACTCACCAGGGACACCAACAACTGAGAGAATTGGGTAGTAACTCGCTTTTACAAGCAGAATAATTTGTTGTTCCATTCTGAATTGTATCCAAACTGCAAGTGTTTGAGTAGTGCATGGCTGATACTTAGGCAGGGAATTCTCTATTTATTCACACATCAATCCTCCAGTGGGTTAGACAGGTTACATCATTAGTGACACTAGCCACAGTGATTGAACAAATAAATTCAAGTCCTTTTTTTGTTTGTCTAACATTTGAGGAGAAAACATGTTTGTAATTGTGATTTAGCAATTTGACAGAACACTTACAACAAAATAATTTTTCACAAATATAAATAAGAATCTGTCAGTATTGTGATGATACTGTCTCTATTCAGACAGGATTGCTGGAGACAGATTCCCCATTAGTTGTCATCCTGGCTCTGCTCTTGACTCATCTGTGATGTCCCGTTCCTCCACTATCACAAGTGAGCATGTCCTACCAGTATTAGCGGTATCATATATTTGCAGTAGAGTTCACTAGGTTCCTGCAGTACTAGTTATGCCTTACTTTGGTAGTAACATTAACAGTGTTACTGCAGTACAAGTTTGCATTGGCATGACTGTGTTAGTCTGGTACTAGTGGCCATCTACCTTGACACTAGAGTTAACCGTGTTACTCCAGTTCTAGTGACATCCTACATTGATACTAAAGCTGCAGCGACATGACAGTTAACAATGTTACTCTAATACTAATGCTACCTTGCATTTACACCAGAATTACTCATGTTACTATGGTATTAATTTCACTTACACATTCTGGATTCAACCAAAGAACAGGTTAAACCACACATGGTATTGTACAACAAATTACAATTTATTAATGACTTCATAAGAGGGATAATCTGAAGCAGCAGGAGATATATCAGAATACACAGAATACAAAAATTCCAATAAGGAAGACAAATTTCAAGCACAGGACTGACCATCCATATTTACCTAAAGAAGTTAGAAGTAGTTCTGAAGGAAGGTTACTGGACCTGAAACGTTAACTCTAATTTTTCTCCACAGATGCTGCCAAACCTGCTGAGTATTTCCAGCAATTTCTGTTTTTGTTTTTGAGTTAAAAGTAATATCACCTGCACAGATGGGTGGCAGGCCAAAATATTTTTTAAAACTGCGGCAAAGAATGACTAAAAGAAGGGAAAATAAGAAGGCAAATTAGAATGTGAGAGAAAGTTAGCCAATAATGAACAAATAGATAATAAGTTTCTAACAATATTTTTTAAAAAAGAGGGAATAAAATGCATATTTATTCTATAGAAAATGAGTCTGGGGAGCTAATAATGGAAAAGAAGGAGATGGCAGATGAATTCAGTGGTATTTTATATTGGTCATCATTATAGAGGCTATAACATAGAACCCAGTTGTAGCTGTAAATCAGGAAATACGATACTGTGCAAGTTGTTGGTACTACCAACCAACAAGTCCTCGGGTTCTGATGGGCTTCATCCAAGGATCTTCAAAGAAGTAGCTAGTTGATAGCTCTGACTTGCTATCAGATGGAACTTATTTATTCTAAAAGGGAGATTAGAAGATTGATTAAAAGCAAAATACTGCAGACGCTGAAAATCTGGATCTTCAGCTGAAGAAGAATCATACTGAACTTGAAACATTAACTTTGTTTCTCTCTCCACAGATGCTGCCAGATCAGTTTCTCCAGCATTCTCTGTTTGTTTAGGTTAAAATATTGGCTAGTGGACTGGGGGAGAATTTCTGAATTTGTTATTGTCTGATTAGTAGGTTGTAATGAGTAGAGTCCAGCAAGGACCATACCTCTACATTGGGCCTATAGGCCAGTTGACTTAGTTCCTCTTTTGTAAAGCCACACTCATGTTCTTTTTTGCAGCATGGACTAATAAACTGAACAATAGTCTCTTGGAATTGATGTCCCATGAGGTCGATTCTGTGAATTTTGAAGTGAACTATTATCCTGTGCTAATCTTTTCAGAATTTGTCTCCTTGTCCACAGAAAGATCTGATATATTAATGCTGTAAAGCATGTCCTTAAGCATGATTTACAGAGCTGTATCCTTGGGATAATTTATCATTTGATATGTAAAATAAGACTGCAAATTTTGCTTGACTAACTGCATTTCAGTAAGGATTCCATAGTTGCTCAGTTCATAAGTGTTTGATTCAATTGCTCATGTAAGCTTTTTTTGAAGTAGAGTGCAATGCTTGTTTAATTCTTTTCCTGGTTTTGCTTCTCTTTCCTTTCTATTTTTCTCTCTTTGCTTCTGTTTCCCTTTATTTTTCACTGTTCCTGCTTGATTCGAGGCCTTAGTCACTTTAAAACTGCTCCTTTAAGAAATTAAGCCTTTTAGCAGCAGATTCCTCCCTCCAGAAGATGTTCACAATAAGGAGGAAATAATGATTTCATATGGACTTCCCTATACGCCTCTGTCAATTTTAAGAAACAAAATGATGAAATTTTGAGCCTATCTTTGGATAATTCTTTTTACTGTACAAAACCATTTCAAAGCTCTACTTTAGCTGAATTCCTTTTGCAGTAGAGTGCATGAGTGTGACTTTTCCGAAGAGGATCTCTCAGAAAGGCTCATTGAATTAGTAATCACATCTACATCAATTAAAGCCCTTAGGACAGAAAATGCAAAGGACAATACCATTGATGCATTACTTGAAGGTGGACACTCATATAAAGCCAGAGTTGAAGGTCAATAATTATTGCACGCATTAAGTGCAGCCAAGGCACTTGTTATGGTCAATACAGTGCACTAATCTGCAATTTCTGTAGCAGATACAGTTTGTTGCCCCTATCCTAAAGCAAGCCTTCTCTTGATATATAAACATTCGGGCAAGAAGTAACAGCTGGCCACTCGGCCCTTTGAACCTGCCCCACCATTCAATAAGATCATGGCTCACCTGATTTTAACTTCAACTCTACATTCCTGCATATCCCTGATAATCTTTCATCTCCTTGGTAATCACGAATCTATCTACCTCTGCCTTTAAAATATTTAGCGATTCTGTATTCACCTGCTTTTTGAGGAAGATAATTCAAAAGATTCAGAACCCACTGAGAGAAAATAATGCTTCCTCATCTCAGGTTAAAAGGGCATCCCATTATTTTTAAACTTATGACCCTTAGGTCTAGATTGTTCCTCAAGAGGAAGCATTCTTTCAACGTCCACCTGGTCAAGTCCCCTCAACATCTTATATGTTTCACATAAGTGACTTCTGACTCTTCTAAACTCAGAGGAGACATACCTAGCCTATGTAGCCTTTTCTGATAAGGCAATCCACTAATTGCAGGTATTAGTCTGGTACACCTTCTCTGACCTGCTTCCAGTGCATTAACATCCTTCCATAAGAACGGTGACCAGTACCGTACACTGTACTCCAAATGTGGTCTCACCAATGCCTTGTATAACTTAAGTATAATCTCTACACTCTTGCATTCAATCCTTCCCCCCACCCCGGCCAGCAATAAAGCATCATAATCTATTAACTTTCCTAATTACCGATCACAGACGAACATATGATTCTTGCACAAGGACACACAGACCGCTCTTCATCTCAGAGCTCTGCAACCTCTCACCATTTAGATAATAAGCTTCTCCTTTATTCTACCTGCCATATGTATAATCCACATGACGCCAGGAAATATGGTTCCGAAGAGCAAACCCGTTCGCAGAGCCATTCAGAGGTGACCAACAAGAGAGTACAGCAGCACAACACCTGCAGCAAGCATTGGCAAGGTGTACAAATACAAACACGTCAATGAGCTTCAGAATCAACCAAGCAAAAGCAAATTTAAAACAAAACAAAAAAAAACTGCAGATACTGTAACTCTGAAACAAAAACAGAAATTGGTGAAAAAACTCAGTAGATCTGGCAGTATCTGTGGACAGGAATCAGAGTTAATGTTTTGAGTCCAGTGACCCTTCTTCAGAACTGTTTGTATCTAGGAAAAAGTTGGTATATATGCTGATGGTGGGGTGGGGGTAGGAAGGGGGAGTAAACGATAGGTGGAGATGGATCCCAGAGAGAGAGAGAGAGAAACAGTTGGGCAGACAAAGGAATGAGTAAAGATCAGCCTGGGAGAATGAATAGCTGCTATTGGGAGCCATTATTAGCTGACAGTTGGTTGTGTATGGTAGCCGCTCATGTGATAACAAGGCTGGGTGTGTGGGGATTAGGGTAAGGATATGGAAGAAAGCACTCAGACCATAAAATTATTGAACTTGATATTGAGTTCGGAAGGTTACCGGGTTGCCAAGTGGAAAATGAGGTGCTGTTCTTCCAGCTTGTGCTGAGCTTCACTGGAGCACTGAAGCAAGCCTGACACAGAGATGTTGGCTAGGTATTCAAGCAGTCATAGAGTCACACAGCGCAGGAACAGACCCTTCGGTCCAACTCATCCATGCTGACCAAGTTTCCCAAACTAAACTGGTCCCACTTCCCTGCTTTTGGCCCATATCCTTCTAAACCTTTCGTATTCATGTACCTGACCAAATGTCTTTTAAATGTTTTAACTGTACCTGCATCTATCAATTCCCCGGCAGTTCATTCCACATACAATCCACCCTCTGTGTGAAAACGTTGCCCCTCAGATTTCTTTTAAATCTTTCCCCTCTCAGCTTACAAACATACACTCTAGTTTTGAACTCCCCTATCCTAGAGAAAAGATTTTTGCTATTCACCTTATCTATGCCCCTCATAATTTTATTAATCTCTATAAGGTCACCCCTCAACCTCCTACCCTCCATTGGAAAAGTCCTAACCTATCCAGCCTCTCCTTACAACTCAAACCCTCCAGTACTGGCAACATTCTGGTAAATCTTTTCTGAACCCTCTCAAATTTAATAATATCCTTCCTATAGCAGGGTGACCAGCTATGTACTCAAAAAGTGGCCTCGCCAACATCCTGCACAACCTTAACATGATGTCCCAACTCCTATACTCTCAGTGGTCTGACAAATGAAAATAGAACTGTTCCAGTCTATTGAATAAAGAGTCGGCATGGATGCTCTATTCAATAATATCTAGTAGGCAAGAACCAGAAGCCCTTATGGTTTCACACTCTCAGTAAGACCAGTCACTGATCTTTACATAAAAAACAGATAGCCAAAGTCCCAGTTATTTACTGAAAGAGTAAACCAGTTATTTACTAAAGAATAAGCCGAAAAGAATAAAAACAAACCTCGAAGAATTGCAGATGCTGGAAATCAGAAACAAAAACAGAAATTGCTGAGAAAACAGCATCTGTGCAGAGAAAGTTAACATTTCAGGTCCAGTGACCCTTCTTCAGAACTTACAAGCCTACAGGATTTTTTGGTTCATGACAAAAGAAGTTTATTTTACAAGAGCCAAACACTAAATACTAAATATCGTGTCAGCTAGCTACCCAGTTCAAATTGGGATGACTGTTTGCAATTTCTTGTACCATTTTCTCCCTTCTCTTCACCAATGTATCATGTGCATGTGGTTAAGTCATAAATGCTTGATAGAGGACTGTGTAGATCTGTGTTCTAATCATGAGAGCTGCTGGAGAGGATAAACCTTGCCTTGAGGAGTATCACACAGACATCTAAAAATCTTGGCAATACAAGCTTTACTAGTGTTGATTAAGGACCTCACCACATGAAAACCTCTGCTATATATCACTAGATCGAGGTTAGTGCGGAGACATGGTGATGTCTTGAATTCTCCACATCTCTTGGAAGAGTCACTCCTGTATTGATGACTTTTGATGGACACAATCTTTTGAGGAAGCCAAGCTAACTGAATATGGTGGTTAATGAGTCATTAACTATTGCATTCGTGTACCTTTCATTTGTGTCAGAAAAGGATATTTTATTGAAATACTCAGTCATCAGGAAGTATTAATGTCTCAGTTGCAATCTTGCACTGAGGCTCAGAAGAAATTTTGTGTGGAATTAGAGGTTTATATGTTTGTTGAACTTGATGGATTTGACCTGTTTCACATGACTTGATTAGTGGATTAATGTCCTTATGGTTGCCAGGCCAGTAGAGAGAATTTTTTTGCTGTTCCCATGTGAACTGAATATTCAGTTCTTGCATAGAGTTTGTGGAATAATCACTTGCTTGCTTTTGATGATTTCTATAGTGTCCTGGTTCATCTCTGAATGTCTACAAAGAACATGCTTGCTTAGGGACCAGTTTGAGCCACTCACTGACAATGTCATTCCTGAGCTGTTACAGTTGCAAATCAAGACAACTGGAAACTTAGGGTCATTTTTACAAATTGAATGGAGGTGCTCTGCAAGGCAGTAATCCAGTCTGTGGTTCGTCTTTCCAATATAGAGGAGATCACATTGTGAGCAGTGAATATAGTAGACTAGATTGAGTGAAGTGCACTGCTTCATCTGGAGAGGGCCAGTGGATCTTCCCCGAATCTGGCTTCGAAGTGAGAACACAATCGCTTCCTTAATCTTCAGTTCAGATTGGAAGAGAGATCAATGACACACTCTGATTTTTATAGTAAAATACAGCATTTTTATACATTTTGTGTTATAATAATTACATGCAGTGTGGTCACTGTCTCCTTCCCTCTTATTTCATACGCTCAATTCTGTGAAACACCTCATCAATGTTGGGCAATCCTACGAACAGCCCCAGGTTCTCATGATATCATGATGTTTAACAGACATTGTAACCTCCAGGTCTTGGGATCTTTCTATTCATCCTATTAATTCGCTTTCCAAAGTTACTAGTTGCGCCCCTTTGAGTCTGTCCCAAACTTGCTTATCCCTAAGGATTGCTTGAATTCTGTTATTCAATGTATTTCATATGCTATCTCTATCACATTCAGTTATAATCAACTGTCCCAATTATGTATATTAAGAAAAACAAAAGACAGTTGGTTTTAACTAACTGCTGTAAGATTCGTAATGTTAATTTCTGTTATAAAATTAGTTATAAAGTGTAAAATTATTTAGCTACATCTACTCTTAGGACTTTATTACTAATAATTTGTGAACAATCTATTTCATTCAGGGTGTACCAGGCATCTTTTAAGAGATAAGCAAAAGCCTTTCCTGCGACTAAATAATTTTCACATCTAGGTTTAAATGATTTTCCCCAATGCTTCTGTTTTACTTTGACTATACATCTAATTATACTTACTTTGAAATCTATCTCTATGATTATCTTAAGAATCCTTAACTAGAACCTTTTTCATAATATCGTAGATGACATCAAAGAAGCAACAAATTACTACAAAATCACTTTAGCTGTTGTTTTCACAGCTGCTTAATGAGTTAGGCTGACTGGTTCACGGACTGAGATTTACACCCCTAGTTCTAACTGATGCCATTCACCTAATGGGAAACATTCTTTCATTAACGAGGCAACAATCAATCACTTGTCTATCCTTAGGCAACCTCCTATCAAACTGTCTCGGATAGTTGCTTGCTGGGTCTCCTGTTCCCCTTGGAGTAGCCCTGTGCAAAGGTACCTTTATGTTTCTCTTAAATGCTGGTGCAGGTTGTTTAATTTTACTTATCCCTTTTTGGTCATTTCGCCTCTTCATGCTTGGACAGGCTGTTTCATTCTGTTTAACCCTTGTTGGCTGTTTTGTGTCTGTCAAACATGGGCCACCCTTACAAAGTGCATTTGGGAAGAAAGACAGGACGTGGAAAACAGACAATACAAAGAGAAGTGAAATCCAACTAATGAAAAGTATTATTATGAAAAATAGTATCATGTGAATCATAAAATAAAGATCTGCGGATGCTGAAGAGCTGAAAAAAAAAACAAATTGCTTTAGAAACTGATGAAGAGTCACTGGTTTTGAAATGTTAACTCTGCTTTCTGCCAACTAATGCTGCCAGACCTGCTGAGTTTCTCCAGCTATTTCTGTTCTCATTTCACATGAGTCATAAATGGACTGACTTGTCATTGAGCTAGAATGATTTGTTGTGTTTGTTCACATTAAGAACTCTATGAACAAAGACCAAATGTAATCACATATCAAGTAATTGTTTCAGAAACTATGTTAATGTGAGCAAAAGAATTTCAACTAAAAGGGGTACTGAAACTGAATTCTCAATATCCAGAATTGAGTTCTATATCAGTGTTGCAACATTTTAGATAATCTTGCAATTAATGCCCAGGGATACTTTAGCACCTTCTTTAATTCTTCCCTGAATTTCCTCTGGGTAGCTGTATAGATGCATGTATTTGTGCTAGAACTCAAATGCTTCAGCATAGCTCCAGTCTCAGTGGTGAGATAAGCAGGGGATGCATGATCTGCTCGATAGTAAGTTGTGTTTGTCATTCTTGTAATTACAAAGCTCACATTGGCTGTCAGACACAACAATAGAAAACTCCCTGATACAGTGAAGAGTAAAATGATGGATTTCCTTCGGTTCTCCATCTCCGAATCACTCTGATTCTTATTGTTGTGGCTCCGGAGAGCTCTTCTGGCTCTACTGGTCACTAATATTTGTCTCACTGTCAAAGAATTGAACAAGATAATTAAAGTAAATGTGAACCAAATGCACCAGACACTGTGAAACCAAGAGCATGCTACACCAAAGGGTGAGGAGAAATAGACCAGATTTGCAAGGCAGCCCCACTGGAAGTTGTTAATTATTAGTTCTGGTTCATATGCGAATAAAACAGGAATGTTCTTTGTAAAGATCATGGTGGAGAATATCATCATAACCATGACTGCAGTTCTCTTGGTGCAGTATATCCTTTTAAATTTCGGGCAGCAGATGATTACAAAACGGTCAAAGGTGAAAGAGACAGTGAACCAAACAGATAATTCAAAAGTGATAACTGTCATGTATATAATGAACTTACACACAGGAGTGTGAGACAGGAATGAATGTGGGAAGTGATAACTGAAAACATAATATATCATGACATTGATGAGTATGACCAACAGATCTCCTGCTGCCATGGCAACCATGTACGTAGAAATGCATTCAGAAAGGCTGCAATTTCCTCGGCAGAGAATAACAATCGTCATTAGGTTTGCTGTAAGGAAGAGAGAGGAAAAAAAATGTAAGCAGAAGCATCTAACATAAATGTAAGTGGAGATCCTGAATGGGAGTATTTTACTCTATTTGATCTGATTATCAACACAGAGCTATTTCACACAGGGTTATTACTGGAACCATTATCTAGGAATATTAGTGAGACCTGGAGACAGAAAGGACTGTGGATGCTGGAAGCTAGAGTCAAAAAATCTACTGTATCTGTTGCTCCCGATGTGGTCTCCTCTATATCAGGGAGACCAAATGCAGACTCAGGGATCAGTTTGCAGAACATGTCAGCGTTGCATGCACCAACCAGCCCAACGTACTAGTTGCCATCCACTATAACTCCTCTTCCCATTCCCCTAGTGACATGTGCATCGTTAGCCTCCTCTAATATCAGAGTGAGGTCAAATGCAAACTGAAGAAACAATACCTCATTTTTCACCTTGGCAGCTTACAGCCTAATGGTCTGAATATTGACTTCGCCAGGTTTAAAACCTCTCCTCCTCCAACCTGTCCATCTTCTGACTCACCTATCCACTCCACCCTTCCCACTGACCAACCACAATAACCCCTTACTTGCATCCACCTATCTCCACCTCATCCACCCTCCCCCACAGCCTCACCCCGCTCCCTCTATTTTTTCTGGGCTTCCCTCCCCGTCCCCAGTCCTGAAGAAGTGTTCCGACCCAAAACGTTGACTTTCCTCCTCCTCAGGTTCTGTCTGACCTGCTGTGCTTTTCCAGCTGCACATCTTTTTTTAAATTTTAACAAGGCTATTGAGTGTGGAAAGCATAGAGAAAGTGATCAAGTGGCTTATGAGCTGGTTTTGGCAATTATCGACTTGTGGCCATGTCACCAAGGAAACACGCTACTTCATCAAACAAACTACGAGCAAGTACATTAACACTGATTTACAAAAAGCTGATTAGAAAAACTCACTGGGAACACCAATACCTGCGAGTATTGGGTAGTATATCTCTTTTATCAGGAGAATGGCCGCTTGCTTCATTTTCTGTGAGAATGGATGAATTCAATCCAAGGTGACAATCTTTGTCTAGGTTCTGTTGAGAAGCCCACAGGGGCCATTATATTTATTCACACTTCAATCCTCCAGGGAATCAGTCAGCTTACATCATTCGCATTAGCTCCAGTCATTTAACAAATGGACTAAATTACTTTGTTTTTTTTGTATGATGCTTCAGAATAAGGTATATTGTTGTTAGGCAGTTTGAAGAAAAAAATTATGAAATATTCTTTATGAGTACAGAATAGAATCTGGGAGAATTGGTGCTATGTCTATTATGCTTACATAGTTGGAGACAGCTCTCTTCAGAGCCATCATCCTGAAACTGACCTTAGCTAAGTCCTCAGGTCCTTATGGTAAAAAACAGATGACAGCTGAAGAACTGGCTATTACATGCCCAGACTTTGCAATAAAAGTTCAAAATGCTGGAAATACTGAATAGGTCAGACAGTGTCTATGGAATATGAAAAATGCATTTCACTTTCAGATCTCACATCAAAGCTGCAGACATTTAGAGATGAATCTGTCTTAAATGAGTACAGAGGCATGGAAAGGATAAAAAGGAACACAAGAGAAGTTTTTGATAGGGCAGAAGACAGGAGAGAGTAAACTGTAGAAGGGATGATGGTGCAATGTACAAGCATGTTTTAATGGTACAGGTGAAATAAAGGAATAGTAACCTGTAGGAGTAAACAGGGAATACTCTAATGTCAGCAAAAACTGCCATCCAGAAAAGTGGGGCAGTGGTTGATCTGAAAGGATGCACTACCCTCAAGTATATATCACTGTATTTGCCTTTGTAAGTGCCTCTGTGTCTCAGTATATCCTGTTTCACCTTTATCTGTCTCTCTCTTTTGGCATCTGTCCATAATATATTTAGTTAAACACATGCAACCTTATTGTATCTGTATTGCACTGCACTCAAAATCCCTTCTCTGATGTCTCTTTGTATCACACGCTGTGCACAAGGATAACCTGGGTACCCTCAGCCTCCATAACTTCTTAAAGTCGATGATATATTGTTCCTTGAAAAACCTAGCCCTTGACAAAATTGATCAAATTCTGACTGGATTTTATAAGTATTTCACAATCATCTCTTTTCAAGTTATAACTTAGAATTCTGTCAGAAAGTCTAAACCTTCATTTCTCTCCAAAAGCTCAGCCTCCATTTCAAAGATTCCTTCACTTCTGATTGGACATCACTCAAGAAAGACCATAGATCATTTTCTCTTTTCTGTAGCTGCTATCTATATTGCATCAACTTCATTCATTCACTGGTCACATGGTGCAAATTGCCCAAACATGGAAGACTGAGTTCAACACGACAATTTCAACTTGCTTTCCAACATTTTCTACAAACACAACCAGAAACTTAATCTTCTGTCCAAAAAACAGTCATAGAGCTGAATGGTCAGGAGTGCAGAAAATATGATGATACGTTGGGGGCAATTATCCAGAGAGAGCCATTATATCTTCACAGGGCCACGACCTCTGGCCATCTGCTAAGCTGCTAATCCTCTGATTGGGAATGAGCTACTACCTTCAGGTGAACAGAGACTCTGGCAGAAGCTTCTTAATTAGCTGCCTCTGGTAAGTGTCCTTCCTCCCTACACCCCTCTCTAGCCCTCAGGTCTTGCAATGGTGCCTCTTTTCCCAATTGGTATCAACGATGAGTCTTCAATGCTCTCCATCAAATTCAACCAATAGCCTTTATAAGTTATAACTCATGGAAAAACCAGGCATTTGTTGCAGCTAGCTGCAGGTGAATAGCTGGAGTTGTCCCTGTGAAAAAGGACCGGAATGTAGTTTCAGTCAAGGGGAACATGAACCCAGGGCAGAAGGATGATTGGTCAATGACAGGAGCAGTCATTGTGACATTCCATGACAGAAAGGCTCTTGAGAACATGTTTCAAGGCTGGATCAGCAAAGTAAAAGCAATTGTGATTCCTTGTGAACTTTAATGATATTCAATGACCTACCATGTCATTCAGATCTGAGTGCTGAGATATCCATGTCCTGTAAACATTTTCTATGCGATATGTACTGTAGTATGTTCAATAAGACCATAAGACCACAAGACACAGGAGTAGAAATTAGGCCATTCGGCCCATAGAGTCTGCTCCTCCATTCAATCATGGCTGATAAGTTCCTCAACCCTATTATCCTGCTTTCTCCCCGTAACCCTTGATCCCCTTGATAATCAAGAACCTATCTATCTCAGTCTTAAATGTACTCAATGACCTGGCCTCAACAGCCTTCTGTGGCAGTGAATTTCATAGATTCACCACTCTCTGGCTGAAGAAGTTTCTCCTTATCTCTCTTCTAAAAGGTCTTCTCTTTACTCTAAGCGTGTGCCCACGTGTCCTAGATTCTGCTACCAATGGAAGCATCTTCCCAACATGCACTTTGTCCAGGCTATTCACTATTTTGAAAGTTTCAATTAGATCCCACCTCATCCTTTTAAATTCCAATGTGTATAGTCCCAGAGTCCTCAAATGTTCCTCATATGTTAAGCTTTCCATTCCTGGGAATATTCTCGTGAACCTCCTCTGAACCCGCTCTAAAGCCAATACATACTTCCTGAGATTTGGGGCCCAAAACTGCACACAATACTCCAAATGTGGCCTGACCAGAGCCTTATAAAGCCTCAGTAGTACATCCCTGCTTTTATATTCAAGTCCTCTCAAAATAAATGCCAATATTGCATTTACCTTCCTGACTACTGGCTCAACCTGCAAGTTTACCTTGAGAGAATCCTGGACTAGAACTCCCAAGTCTCTTTGCACTTCAGACTTCTGAATTTTCTCCCCATTTAGAAAATAGTCCATGCTTTTATTCTTCTTACCAAAGTACATGACATCACACTTTCCCACGTTGTACTCCATCTACCACTTCTTTGCCCACTCTCCTAACCTGTCCCAATCCTTCTGCAGCATCCCCACCTCCTCAATACTACCTGTCCCTCCACCTGTCTTTGTATCATCTGCAAACTTAGCCAGAATGCCCACAGTTCCTTCATCTAGATCATTAATGTATAAAGTGAAAAGTTGTGATCTCAACACTGACCCTTGCGGAACATCACTTGTCACTGGCTGCCATCCCGAGAAAGACCCTTTTATCCCCACTTTCTGCTTTGTGCCAGACAGCCAATCATCTATCCATGCTAGCACCTTGCCTCTAACACCGTGAGCCCTTATCTTTTACCCATGTGTTCCACATTTTAATTCTGGATGTTAGAAGTAAGTTGTAACAGGACTGTAGATTGTATTAGTGTTCACCTTGTACAGTACAGTGTGACTTTTGTTGAAAACCATGGAATGTTGTGGCTTTATTCTCTCAGTATTTATACTCTTATTGGGTAGGCAATGGCCTAGTGGTATTATGGCTAGACGATTAATCCAGAGACCCAGGTAATGTTCTGTGGACCTGGATTTGAATCCCGCTGTGGCAGATGGTGGAATTTGAATCCAATAATAATCTGGGATTAAGAATCTAATGATGACCAATTGTCAGGAAAAACCCATCTGGTTCACTAACATCCTTTAGGGAAGGAAATCTGCCATTCTTACTTGGTCTGGCCTACATGTGACTCCAGACCCACAGCAATGTGGTTGACTCTTAACTGCCCTCTGGGCAATTAGGGATTAGCCATGTTCTCTGGGCAGTCTTTCTATCCAGGGCTTGCAGTAATATTCTAGTAAAGCACAGCATAAGCTCAAAGAACAATTTCTCAGTTTGCACTTTGAAACCCTGCAGCCTCTAAGAATTAACGTTAAGTTCAATAACTTTAGTGCCTGGTTCCATCCTTTCATGGTCTTTGTCACACCCTGCAGCCGGTCCTGTTGTGACGGGCTGGTTTTAGTACAGACCGCATTCCCATGTACTCCTAAGCCCATTATCACATTGTATGGATTCAACACAGCTAACTCATTTTTGCACTGTTAGGTCTTATAATCTCTTATT